ATTGCCTCCAGCCGGTTCAATACCTTACTGGTACACTGTCTAACTGTATTGATTAACTCCTGAATAACGAGGTCGACACACTTCAGACAAGGCTCTTTCAGCTTCACCACCTGCTTTTTCACAATGGCTTCGAATGCCAAGTCTGGGGTGAAGAGCCCCGTCCTACAGGAATCCGCAGGCGGGGCGAGAGGGCAGAGACATGGCGGAGAAAAAAACAAAATGGGTGATCAGGTTTGGAGGCGATCGGCTGCGTCCTGGAGAGCAATTCCCTCCCCAGCGCCGTGAGCTGGGGCGGCCCCGGTCCTGGATCCACGGCATCGCTGAACCCCGCTTTTCCCCCCACCGTTGGGGCTGCCACGACCCCTCGTAGTAGCACCCTCCAACCTCTCCCAGCACCTCCAATTAGGGTGCTACTTCCCCCCACGAACGAGAGCGAGAGCCCAGGTGCATCAGCACCGCAAGGAAATGGGAATTAACCTTTTTTGTGGTGTTTAGGGAAAATAGGTGACCACCAGCAGGCCAAGTGACTCCTGGAGAGAGTGTTAAAGCAAAGAGGAAAAAACTCTACGTTTCTCTTTTCCCGTCACAGCACCAGGCCGAAGGAGAGCGGGCCCGCCAAGAAGAGGACTTGCATTGAATGCCGTTCCTCTTCGGGGTCCCTAATTCCCTCAAGAGATCTGTGCTGGACGGGCTGAGACGCCCCGCTCCCCAGCACACGCACCTACAGCCAGGACCTGGATCCCTCTTGTAGTGAGAAGGTTTAACTCACGTTCCCTACCTTTCTCTCAAGGTCATTTCTTCCCCCGCTTACAGGAAGGTAAGAGGAAAGATAAAGGTTATTTTAGCGGCTGAACTGAAGGCACAAGGGGAAATTTTTCAGCTCAGCGCCTGGGTTTTCCGGGGCACTTAGGGAGCGGGGCAAGCCTGACTCTGCTACCGAGACCGCTCGCTACGCTGGAGGGACACACGGGGTGGCCGAGTTACCCCTTTAATTCCCTCTAAAAGGCAAGGAACGTCCATTTTCAGCAAACGCTGGTCTCCACACGACACCGGACGATGAGCTGACAGCGATAGGTATCACCTCTCCCTCGGCAGGAAAGCTCCGATCACACACACCCCGCGGACCAGGCTTACTGATCTACTCTAAGGAGAACAGGATCCGTGACCGCGCCGCTCCGATACTTGCCTCACACCGTGGATGTTTTTAATTGCATAGCTTATTTCTCGCCTCAAGTCCTTCTCGTCAAACTCCATCTGAATAGGGAGGAAAGCCACAGTTAGATTTTTACAGCAAGCAACTTCTGGCAATCAGGTGGGCGTGCAAGCGGGCTCCTGCTCCAGCCCTTCTTTTGCAGCATCGCAAGAGGCCTGAAGCACTCATCGTCTTTACAAGCAGGTTCAGAGGCTGCCCTCTATCCTGGCCAGGCTGGCTCGCTCTCTGCGGTTTACTTATCTCAAATCTTGAGATCTTGCCTGGTTTGATATCCTCCTGCTCCGCAACTTCCTCGTTACAAGCCCAGTGCTTAAGCCAGAGGTCAGGCATCACCACCCAGAAATGACAGCCCACAGCGTCTACCGAAACACACGACTCTAATAAAACATCCCCTCCTTCTGTAAATGCCTTCGGGTGCCAGGAAGGGAAAGGCGTGTAGGACTGCCGGGGCTGAGCTGGGCTTCAGCTCCACGTGGATATCACAGCCCGGCAAGAGAGAGTTCAGCCCATCCCAACCACGTGCGGCTTTCTGTAGGAGCAGTCTGCCCGACACTATCTACGCAGCTCCACACGCGCTCCCCAGGCCAGCTTTACCTTCACTAGCTCGAAAGGAAATCTCTCGTGGAAAATGCGATTGATTCTGGCACCGCCGGAGAGTTCGAGCGTGTCCACCTGGTCTCCTGAACCTTCGATTCGTTTCTCAAAGTCCACACCGAACTGCTGGACCATTCTGTGGAGAAGCAACGGGATTAAACGGGCACCAGCGGAGTGCAAAGGACGGACAGACACCCAGACTGCCTCCTACAGCCAGCACCACCCCACCAGCTCTGCTTCAGCTACTCAAGGCTGCCTAAAAGTTCTCCCAATTCCCTCTGTTGGAGTTGCAGAAGCAAAAAATCTCCCTTTTGCTGTCGTCTAAAGAGCACGTGGGCAGGTCAAGGACGGACGCAAGTCGTCCTTTCTAATTCCGAGACCAAACTGTTTGCTTTAGGACAGGCAGGTCACGCACGCAGAGCACAGCAAGCACGAGACGCTAATTCTTGCCTGCAGAGATGCTCGGAAGGCATTTCTGGGAGAGGCTTTCCTTGTCCTTCCCAGCAGCCTGCCAGACAAGCGCCGGAGGACACAGAATCTCTCCTAGATGCCAGCTTAGCACCGTTGGAGTTGGCAGGGCCATCCGCCAGCAGCGCTCGCTCCCAACAACGGGGCTATTCCGGGCTCTTCCTTGGAAGAAGCCACCGGCTGAGATAAATGAGCCTCGCACAAAGGGCAGAGCGAGTTTATTTCTGAGCCAGCAACGTTTCTGGCTGGGAGAGGTGAATCTCCTCTGCCAGGTGAGGCACTGGAAACGCAGCACTGAGCGAGAGAAACCTACTGTAACAAAGCTTTGGTTTTTCGTGTGGGGTCATCGGGGCGGAAGTTCTTGTACTCCTCAACCTCCTTCTCCAGGGAGAGCAGCTGACTCTGAAGTTTGCTGCGCAGCGAAGGCAGCGTCTCCCGAATGTGGTTGGTCAGTTGCTGCAAAAGAATCGAGGTAACTGAGACACCTTCCTCTCCACCAGACCGGCCGCAGGAACATCCCTTTTCCACCAGAGATAAACACCAGCACCGCAAAACACTCGGGAAGGGAACCAAGCCTACCTGGTTAAGGACTTTCTGCAAATGCGGGGTGCCCATCCGATCGGCCATGTGCCGGTAAGCCGGGTGAGAAAGGAAGAACTTCCGCTCGGCTGCCAGCGCTGCCCTGATGTCCTTCTTACCATCGATGTCCTTCTGGCTTCGGTTAACGACGCCGATGTAGCCTGCAAGAGGACACATTGGCTCTTGGTACGGACAGACCCAGCTGAAAGGCGTCCGAGCAGGGCCGTGCAGCTCCGTTTCGCCATCCACAGCCACTTCTCCCGGAGCAAAGGGCAGCACGAAGGCCCTGAGCTCCCCAGCAGACACCGGAGAGCACAGGGGCTGCCCTTCGACTCGTTTTGAAATGCCACTCTCTCCACACGAGAGACGAAGGTCGTGGGGGGGAGGATACGGGGTGACGCAAAGCCTGCGTGGTTCATTATACCTCTTCGTAAAGGAAGCAGCTTGTTCTCCAGCACGTCTCTGGCATCTGTGCCTTCATCCATCAGATCCAGCTTGGTGATGACTCCAATCGTCCGCAAGCCTGAAGCGGCCACACAAACGAGCAATCGATTAATCTCATTTCGCAGAACGCATCAAAAGGAGGTGCGCGAGCGCGTAACCGAAACAAACACGGACCCGCCAGCGAGGAGTGGAACTGCTGGCCCTTCCTCAACTGTCAGAGGACAGAGAATCCTCTGTGAGAGGAGGAGGAGGGATAAGGAGACCCTCTGGTACCAAAATCTGATTGCCGAGACTCTGCTCTGCCGCGCCAGCCGCTGAAGGCTTCGTCACTCCATACCCGGGCTGGAGCAGCAGCATGGGCAGAGACAGGCAGGAGGACACGTCCATCTCACCTTGAGGATCAACTTCTTTTGCCATCTTGAGCGCGTCCGAGTTGGCCAGATCCATGTTTGCCGGCGTGACAGCGAGGATCAAGCTGCTCTCCCTGCTGATGAACTGCAGGATCATGTCTTTGATCTGGTACTCGATGTCCTGCGGTTGGTCCCCCACCGGCACTTTGGTGATACCCGGGAGGTCGATCAGAGTCAGGTTCAACACTGAAAGGACAGAGACCACCCGCGTTCGGGGTCGAGGGCCTGGCGTTGGGAGCTGTCAGTCTTGCAGCTGGATCTCTTCAGATCTGCTGACAGATCCACCCCTCCACAAGCCTTAAAATCCCCTCTCGAGGAAGAGTTACTGCTGTATTTGCTCAGGGGGCGGCCCAGGCAGCCCCCATCGACC